ATTTGTTTTTAGATTATTGTTAATTGATGTTTATCACGTGAATTCACGCCCATAATTATTATCAGCCATAGGAAAGATCAACTGACAATTATATATGAGAGACAATTTATCCATAATAAACGTGTCCCCGCCATTTTGTCGGGTGGTAACACAAAGAGCTAGTCTGTGTATTTCTTGTAGTCGGTAAGCAAACTGCAATCCTTCGACCCAGGGCGCTCACCCCTGAGATTCTCAACGCCGGTGACTGGATAGCAGGTAAGGCATTGCGCTTGACGCCCTTTAAATAAATTGACTGAAAGTGACCGTCGCACCTTAAGTGTGACGACAATCCCCTTTATGATAGTGTGACTCCCAGGTATATATAGTAATTTACTATATATATAGTCTCACCACCCATCTAACACCCACTCAGGCAGCTCGGAAGGTATGAAAAATGAATGCTTGTATTAAGTTTCATGATCTAAGGTAGCGGGATCTTTCGGGTGTGAGAATGTGTACCCAAGACTCAGAAGTTGGATGAAATCAGTGCGTCACCAATTGGTCACAGAACACATTCAAATGAAGCAAAATATGAAATAACTCTCTGGATCAATAAATTAAAATCACAGAAACACTCTGAAGTGATAAATCTACAATGCCCCCAGCACAGTGCGCGGTCGCTACCAAATACTTTTTTAGCACAAGGTAGCGAATTGTAGAGTGAAATTTCCTTCACTCTCCCTTTTAAAACAGAAAATAATTTAAATCAGATTTATTTCAAAAATTTACAATGAATTTTACCACACTTAGCATAATATTCGACAATTCCTTACAAAAACTGAGTCTAACATTTAAATATATACAATCCATTTTTCTTTCAGTGAATCATTAGGGAATGAAATATATTACATAGTATACAAAGCATACACTAATCTCCCTTTTGCTCACTCTATTCGCTATAGTGTCTGCATTAATTGTCAAATTTCCCTCAATCTTTACCTAATAGCCACAGCAGTCGCTCTATCGCCGCGTCGTCGCCTGCCCCTCAAGTCCCGTAGCAATGATAGTTTTTACCTTGCTCCTTTGAATTTTTGATACATCCTAATATATCTACCTCAACATGTGATACCGCCTAATATATTGTCGGAACTTGTTTTGCCCGAGGGCAGCAATACGACGTAGCAGGGACTCAACAAGCCGTGCGGCCTCCACAGTCGTCCATAATATCGAAAGTGTTGCCGGCGTTCCAGTGTTCAAGCAATCCAGTGTTCAGGATTTTGGGCACGAACTGACTTCTTGATTGTATCCCATGAATGTGTGTCCCCGGTGATATGGCGTATTGTCATCCATAAAAATTCCATCGTTGTTTGGGAACATGATGTCCATGAATGTCTGCAAGTGGTCTGCCAGTATCTCAACATAACCATTTCCAATCACGATCATTTCGGTTGGACCAGAAGATCCAGTCCACACCATTATGGAGCCACCCCCAGCTTACGTAGTGCCTTGTTGACAACTTCTATCCACTGCTTCGTGGGATCTGTGCCACACTCGGACCCTTCCATCAGCTCTTACCAAACGAATCTGACGATTTTCCATTTTGCTAGAGTTCAATAGATATGGTCACGCCAGGAGCAGACCAGAGTGCAAAAGAGGCGCTGCAGGCGATGTTGTGCTATTAGCAAAGGCACTCGAGTCGATCTTCTACTGCCACATCCCATTATAGGACAATTTGCCGCACTGTCCTATCAGATACATTCATTGTTCATCCTACATAGATCTATGCTGTTATTTCACGTAGTCTTGTCTGTTAGCACTGACATCTCTTCGCAAACGGAATAGAATGTCCCATGCATCTAGCTCCAACTACCACTCCGCCTTCTAAGTCAGTTCATTCTTGTCGTGCGGCCGTAATCATGTCAGAAACCTTTCCACATGAATTAATTTAATATAAATGAATGCCCTGTCTATGCACTCCCATTTATACGCTTGTACGCGATGCTACAGCCATCTGTATTTTTGCATATTTCTGTCCCATGACCTTTGTTATCGCAATGTATACGAAACGCTACAAATGTGTATTTTATGATATGAAGTAACATATTCAGTAGTTTTAATTTCTATTAGTGGCAACTTTTTCTTGAAACAGACCATGGTCTTGTAGAGCGCTTCTATGAGGATAGCCCTCTACTGCCGCCGGCTTCGCAATGTCTTGCGGTCGCCATTTCGCCGAATGCAGCCAAAGCTCTCGGAAGAGAGGAGAAAGCGGGAGCATCTCCGTCACATGTTGCAGTCCAGCAGCGCCACGCCACTCCACGCCATGCTCCGCTCCGCAGCAACTCGCTGCGTGCAGGCGCTTTCTACCGTCACTGCAACGTCAACATGCGTAATCGGAAAGAAATACTATCGGCTGTTTGTTTCTACGAATCCAACTAATTCCATGTCTACCTGTGACATCCTTCTGTTTACGGTCCTTATCTTTTTGTTCCGTCTTTTCTTTCTTTCCTTCACCTCTGAAACCCTGTCGCGTAAAAAAATTCTTCTTTTAGGGGTTTTATTTAATTATTTCCTACTTCTTTATTGTTAAAAACAAGTTCCTTGTATCCCATTATTTAAGATTTAGATATATTTTGTATTATTTGTAGGATACTGCGAATGTAACACATTAATTTATCGTTTGAAATGCAATTTAAAAAATGAGAATTTATTGTATGGTTTTAGAGTAATTGTTTTGATGAATTGTGTATTTGTAAATGAAAGTGATTTTATGGTTTTTCAATGGCTAGAATCTCTTTTGCAAATTTCGGTCTGAAGACAAATGCTATTTTATTTGGTTTCATTGGGCAATTACAATATCAAGCAAATTAAAGTAAATCAAAACTTGTTTAAATTTTTCAAGAAATTGACCGTATTAATGAAAATGTAAAGAATTTTACTAACTGCAACTTTGCGTATAAGAGCGTGCATTTGAGAGTATAGTTCCATCGAACAATAGTCAGTGACAATAAAACCCACTATTGGAATAAAAAAAGTTTTAAAAAAAAGTTCTTTACTAATAATTTTACTGCAAACAATGATTAGCCACACCATTCATAAAATTTCTTAAACAATGTTGTCACACCAAACACGGATACGCATCGTAATCCCACTGGCAATCATTTGAGAAAAAATTAATAAATCGTATTAAATATTACATTTTCAAATATTTCATAAGAGTTTCACGTAAGTGTCACAAATATTTATGTTCAAGAAACAAATCTCTCCTCCCTCAGGTTTGTCATTCATCGTTCTTCTCAAATTACACATATTATATTTACGAAATACTAATTATTTACTATGATACTCTAAGATATACCTCCTGTCCCCATTTCGAACGAACACCATTCCGGTTGTAATCTCCTGATTTGTGAGTTCGTCGCGTCGCCGCTCGAAGGAAGTCGACGATCCGCCGCCAGATCGCAGTGGCGGGCAGAGGAACAGCGGCGAGTAAAAGCTGCCGGGTGAAAGTGTAGCAGGACGACGCAGCCGCAGCTGGAGCGGCCAGTGCTGTCCAATAAGGTCATTAGCAGAACCTTACGTAACGCCCGCTTCCTTATATGGTCATCCGCTTCCCCTCCGAACACCAGGGTGAAACCGCTTCCCCTCCGCCTGCGAAGAGCAGCCGCCGTTGTCTCTTCTCGTTCCATTGCCCACTCCGTGTCTCTGGGACTTCTTTGCAATCTCAGCCCCTGCTATCTTCTGTCTACTTCTCCACTTTCTTATCTTCTATTTTCTTCGGGCTACTATGCATTCTGCATCACGTGTGCACACACCGCCGTTTTCACCATTACCAACTCTGCTGTCGTCTCCTTAACCGTGCTGTCACTCTATTGCCATATACTAACTTTACTACAGCCGCACTGGAACGTTGGTCTGCATCACGACAGTTGTTCCCGACTTCTCTGTTTAAGAAAACGCGGTGCGTTTTCCTCCGGCTTCAACTGATCAACAGTCGGCGGGCGACCACGTCTCGATTCTACGCTACCTGTGACGCAATGCCCAGCCTCACCACGTCTCTTGTAGAGCGCCACCGCCTCAGACTCCATCATCTCTACCACCGCTGCCGCCTACCTCTGCACTTCTTCCTCCTTCACCACCGCTTCCTCTGCCTCCCCTATCACCACCGCTGCCGCCAACCTCACCATTGCCTTCTCCTTTCTCAGACTCCACCGTCTCTGCCGCTTCCATCATGACCATCGCCACCTCTTCTGTCGCTACCTCCTGCGTGGCCGCCGCCACCATTGCCGCCGTCGCCAACTCCACCACCGCAGCCGTCGCCATAGCGATTGCCGTCGCCGCCAACGTAAACACATCGACGCCCCTGACGCCGGCGCCTGCGCATGCCGCCAGCAGGCGGGTGCCTCGGGGCAGGCACCAGCGCCGGAGAAAGAGACTTGCGACAGCGCGCGTCGCTTTTTCTCGCGCTGGGCTGTTACGACGGCGGCCGATCCAAAAAGATCTCCATTCAACACCTTCCCAAGACATACGAGTATGTAGGTCTTGCTTTGAATAGCAGGTGTACAAAGAATAGACTTCTATGTCCCGTAATCTCCCAATAGAGACGTGCTGAGTTATAAAAGTGGGACGGTTGTTTAAGGTGTAGCAGACCTCTTGCTACGTCAGGGTATGCAATACAGCCTACTTAAAGAATGGCGTCATTGTAATGCCAGGAAGCAATTACTTAACCGACTCTTTCCCTTTTCCATTCGTTTTATCCCAGTTGAAGAGGAGATCATAATTTGAGATTTTTTAATTCATGTATTTCGTAATACGTTTAAATATCTTAAACAAGTTGATTGCAGTACATTACTAGGATATATGTGTTGGGAATGTGTGAAAGGGATATTAATACAAAAGATAGTTTAACGAATAAAATTCATATATATTTGTTTAAGATATAATATAAAAATATACCATCAGTCATTGCGTACAAAAGTCTTGTATTCAAGAGATAATAGAAATATATTCAAACAATCCGACAACTAGAATACACCAGTTGGTGTAACTTTGGAAGTTGGTATTGGCGCATTCTGGGAACCAAGAAGAAATATAAAAGAACACAAAAAACAAGCACATGAAGATGAATCGAATGAAACGTGAATGAGGAAACCATTCTGAGCTACGTAATGAACAATACCTATGAAGTCGCGTATGGTACAGTATGACATGATGAATCTGAGAATGTTTAGCTAGTTTTCGTGACTAACTTGTCGCAGTACTGGGCCCGTAAGCTCGTCATCTAAATGTTACTTGATACAAAATAAATTATTTGAGTGCATGGGGTGAATGAGTTAATGGACCCTGTGAGAATTTCACGACTGACAAACGAAGATAGTTGCAAGCGAAAACCGGCTTTAAGGGAGAACTAATCGAAATACTGAAAGCAAAGAAAATGACTTAATAAAGAGAGGCGTGAAACTCGCTGGATCTGAGCAGTTACACGGATTGCGCGTCGGTCCCGCTCCTTTGCCTCCCGCTACCTCCGCCTTGGCCTTGACCCCGCCCCGCTCGGATCCTCAACCGCGTCTGCTGGGGTTGGGTGGAAGCAATTGCGTTGAACTGATCCTCGCGCGTGTAGCTCTTCCCCGCCAGCGGCGTGCATACGGCTCGCGCCGGGAGGAATCAGACGGCGAGGAAGATCGCCGCCGACTTTCCAAAGTAAAAGTCGCCTCTGCCGATGATCGGGCTGAGCTTCCGGCGAGAGACGCGCCGGGGAGCTGGGGTCGGAGGTCGCGGCGGAGGCGGAAGTGGCGGCTGGTCAGGGCCGACGCGCCGTCCGGCGCCGCCGCTCGGAGCCAGCCAGCCAGCGGGTGGGGCGCCTTAGTGCAGGCCGTAGGCGGGCGCGTGGCCGATGCTGTAGGCGGGCGCGGCGGCGATCAGCTTAGGCGCGGCCACCACGGCCACTTTGGCGGGCTGCGCCGGGTGCACGGCGTGGCCGGTCTTGGTGACGACGGCGTTGAAGCCGTTGTGGCCGTCGGCGGAGTAGTCGACGGTGCGCACGGTGCCGTCGGGCTCCACCAGGCTGTACTGGCCCTTCACCACGTCGCCGTCGCGGTGCTCGCTCTGCTGCTTGATGTCGCCGGTGTGCACGTCCTTCACGCCGTAGTTGAACTCGTACTTGGGGTAGGCCTACGGGAACACAACCTTCTGGTTATTTCATGACGACTTGGTTTATGCATATCAGTGGATACAACAATCGGATACCAGTTTTCGATATTATGTCTTCTTAACTTTAGACCTGTAGTGAACTGTGACAAGTTAACAAATTATTGGCAGGTCGTCGTCTTAGGGGAAATAACCAAAATTACCCAGAAAAATATTATTTATAAATTTACTCTAATGAAAAATCACATAGAAATAAAAATTACTTTTCGACATCCTGTTCACAGCAATTTTGGAAGGTCATCTTTATAATTGATTTTAGGAAATACCTTTTCAGAAGATATTTCCTTCCTTCCTTTTTTTTTGGATATTGGATATTGGATATTTTTGGAACCCTTACATTTGTCTTTGTATAAGTAACAAAAATTATATATTTTAAATTCGAAAGCAAGTTTACAAATTTCTGTGAAACTTAATACCACGATATTGTGACTGAACACTGAGAATTCTCTCCGATGTTTGCATAACAAGTTCCTTGCAGTAAAATCGAAGTGGCGCAGAGACCCGGTCTACTTACGTAGGGCTCAGGTTGATGGACGATGGCCTTGGCGACGGGGGCGGCGTAGGCAACGGGCGCTGCCTGGACGGCGTGGGCGACGGGGGCGGCGTAGGCGACGGGGGCGGCGTGGGCGACAGGGGCGGCGTAGGCGACGGGGGCGGCGTGCGCCACCGGGGCGGCCGCGAAGTGCCCGCCGTACAGCTCCTCAATGCCAGGGTAGGGGTAGGCGGACGCCACCGCGGCGAGCGCGGCCAGCAAGGCGACCTGCAAGCCAGGGCAAGCGCTAAGTCACGATGCAAGGGAGGGAAACCAAACATTTTAACGCGCACGTTTTCAAGTTCAAAAGAACACATTGTATTGGTGAGGAGTAAAATAACGTAAAAGTTTTATCAGAAACTCAGGATATATCCATCAGTTTTTATGGTTTATTTTCGTTATTGTAATTATTATTTAGTATAATAATTTTACAATTTTTATGAATTATTAAGTAAAAAGTAAACATGGTGGTATTCTTATCTAACTTTTATAAAATTTCTGTTTATAAGAAAAATTTTTAAATAGCTATCCAGAGGCATAAAGTCTTTAAATTCAGATTCCTCTTTTTTCACTGAAATGACATATAAAAATATAAAAACCGATAAACTACGTGTTTTTTAAAGAAATGTGACGATGATGCGAAGAAGAAGGAGACCGAAAAGAAGTTGTGCCGGTTTGAAAAAAAGTAATATGACAAGAAATGCAAACGTCTGCTCTGGGTATTAGGGTTCAATTCAGATCATGTCGTTTAGAAAATAGATAGGTAAAACCTGTTATCTCTACAATTTTTTAACTTTTTTATTTTTTATATTTTAACTAAGTTTATTTTTCAAACTGTACAGTCCGGTTGCTTAATGACCTTTCATTAATCATTCGCATTGCCAATTCCCTGTTGTTCTCGTCGTTGATGAAAATGTAAGCTCCTCTGTTTGAATAAATTAAGTATTTAGAAAAAATCATCATTACAGTATTTAATGGGCGCTGTTACAGTACTCGCCAACAGCCTGTCTCTTCGAAAGGTTTATTCTGCATGATAATGCCATTTCACTGTAGCGTTAAGTGCCGATGACTTTTACTCAATAATGATATCATGCAAATCACAGCAAATAATTATTCAATATCATTATTCGTTGACCGATATTATTGATTGGTCGCTTCCTTTTGATTTTTGCCTGAAATGTTTATGTGCCCTACAATTGAAAATGCGTGTATGAATGCTTTGAAAAAACTTTATTTGCATTTGGCCAGTATAACAAATATTTCTCAAAAGTATTTCTAATGTATTTTTTCATCTGACAAATATGGCAATCTGATAAGTCAGTGCCAGTTTTTTCTAGAGAACTATTGAGGCTTGAGACAAATATAAACTTCTAATAGCCCAAGTGGGGTAATTCCGTTTTCAATTAGGTTGATAATTGTGTAACAAGCAAAACGTCAGTCTGTTTATCCGTCAGTCTGTGAACACCACTAGCGCCTAAACCATACATGATTTTTCTTTCCAAAATGGAAATTCCACAGTCGATCTGGCTCCACTCGAGGCGCCGCGATTTTAAAAACCTTTCTTCAAAATTTGGGCGGACTTTACATGAAGCGCCTCGAATTTTTTCAAAATTACCTCGAAAACGGCTCCAATTTTTTTCTCTAAATTTCTTGTAAGAATATAGTAAAATACATTTATAAAGGCGGCATTGGTTAGAATTTCACGGTTAACTCCAAATTTCCGAAAATTTCTATATTTGTATTTTTTGAGGCGTCTTCCAACAATTATACAATTAAAGATAGAGATTTTCCTTCAAATAAAATTTGTTCTCCATTGTGAGTTCGTTCATTAAGATCGTGGAGATTTTTTGGAATATTTTAATAGTTTGCGTGCAACGCGCGCAATTTAAAAAAAAACAACAAGAAAAGCAAGATTTTCTCCAAAACGGCTCCAAATTATTTCTAAACGTATTAACTAAAATTACAACAATGACCCCCGAAGCCACCCGACTGGAAAAGTGAAACGAAAACGATGTGCTCGCGCCGAGCGCAACTCTCGCGGGGAACGTAAAGCCGCGGGCGCGACGCCGCCACCAGTCCGCGCAGAACAGGTTTGGAGGCGCCTCCCGCCGCGCGATGGCCATGTGCTTGACCTGCTTCCAATCGACGAGCGGGCCGCGTGGGAAGAATCCGCGCGGCTGCGGCCGGCAAGACGCGTCCACTTCCGCCGACGACGGTGATTCGCCCCGAGGCAAAGGTTTTTGATCAAAATTAAACATATTTTTAGGTAATATTCTTTTGTTTTATCGGCTTAACGGTTTAATCGGCTTAACCAAATAGAATTAATAAAAAGCCGCTCCTTAACGGCCGGCATTCGTTAAATATTTAACAGTCCGTTAAGAACAATCGAAATAAACGAGTTGTTGCTAAAAAGGCGACTGGGTATTTATTCCAAGAAAAGGAATTTCTGTTTTACGTATTTTTCTGATAATAAGATGATATCACCTATAAATTGTCAAACGTAATATCCAACCCAACCAGGATCCTAGCCGAACCTACTCGTCTATGCTCTGTTGCTTTGATCACCGAGCTAGCTAGACTATGCTTTGAAGGGAGGTTCCTTTCATGTGAACCTTTTCATGTGAAAAAACTAAACATTGTATATAATTTATTTAGAGCAATTCATAAAAAATAGAGTGTATGCTGAGTTATGATACTTTCAAAAAATTCTTGATTCAAAAGATTAGAAAGTCAAAAGGAAATAGTAAGCAAATGAGAAATTTTTTGAGCTCGCGAGTTAATGTGTTTTGTAAATTTTGAGTACTGTACAATAACCATTACTTCCTGCAAATATACTTAGCAATTATTCGTGTTATAGTTCTAATAATAATTTCTAGTATTGTAGTGACACATTTCGAAGTTAATTAATTTTATTTAAAAGTCCGAAAATAGAATTGTCTTTCCAACTGACACCAACGCGATTCGTTTACATAAGTTCTAGCGACGTAAAAAATTAATGATCCAATGCCTTATAAAACATGCTATTTACCTAAAAGGAATTATATAATATTAAAATCACCATACTGGTCTTTTTAACCTTGAACTTGCTGACATAATTCGCGACATAAAGAGATACAACACGAAGTTTTGCGCAGGCGTTGACATTATCCTCTCTTACGCTTATCCCGTATATGTTGTAGTGACTGAATGAAAATTTATAAAATATTGCGAGATGACCTATATGAAGCACAATTTAAAAATGTATACATGGAAAACCGCACTTGAGCAAACCGAACGTTCCTGAACACTTGTTTGCAAACAAGAGGATGTAGCGGCCCAGAGCGCCGGAGAGGGAAACCCGCTGCGGCGCACGGCCGCTTCGCCCGTTGGGCGGCGGCGCCCGCACGGCTGCGCCATCTCCACTCCTCGCACACTTCAAGTGCGAATGGAGACTGATAACAGATTTCTCGATGTCGATAACGTTTCCCTATTAACTTAAGAGGTGGGTTTGCGTCGCTCATCGGCGCACCTGTCAATAATTAAAAAAAGCGCGCTCAACGGTAATACTAAAACAATTGAATTCGTAGGCGATAATAACCTTCTCCTGTTGCCAGTATTATTTGCTTGGATGTCAGCAGGAAATAAGTTCGTTTTTTATAAAGCTCGTTGCTTTTTCTTATTTTAAAGTGATGTTATACCATGTTTAAAAAAAACATGTTGTGAATTTAACATGAATCGAAAGGGGGGGATGGAAGAGAACGGTCAATTGCTGTCATGTAAGCATGATATCGTATGTCTTAACTTATAAGAATCTATCCATTGCGATTTAGTACACATCGTTAAGATGTGTGTTACATCACTTGAAGCGACAGAGAAGGCAACCATCGCCCAATCCGGCGAAGGGCAAGTGTGCGAGAGTGTGGAAGCCCTCCAAGTGAGAAGGGCAGCCCTCCGAAGCTTACCTGTGCGAGACTCATGGCTGCTCGAGGAGGCGTGTGCGGTGGATGGGTGCACTGGAAACTGTGATGTCTGCAACCCGTGGGTCGCGCCTTTTATACCCGAGACCCTGCAGCCAACCCCTTTCCCGCTCTCTCTCACCTCGCCGCGCGCGTCTGCTGGCGGGGCGCGCGTTTCTCCGCTCGCCGCCGCCGCCGCCGCCGC